AGCTAGTTGGGTTGTGCGTTTCTGCAGTTCTGCACAGCGAGCGGCTGCTATTAAGAATGTTCACAGCTCTACAAACTGATGTGTGCAAAAGCCACTCCGTGCCCTTTTTATTATCGCTAAGCTGTTCATGATGATTAATTTTTAACCGGTTAACAAAACTGTATGGTAAGCGGCAGCCAAAAGAGTAAACTGGAATCCGAATTACTTTTAGTACAAAGGGCCAGATTTTCGCCCTAAATCAGCTGTTGAAAGGTATAAGAAAGCTCAGCTTTTTCTTTATCTCCTCTTTGTTGATTACTTAAAAAATGCACCGGTTCACTGCAGTGCGTGCACCGGTTGACAGAGGAAAAGGCCTGCATCGAGACAATGTTCCGGAAGTTTGACTGGAAAGATGGTGAGAAGATCAGCGGTGAGCGGCTAAATCATGTGCGCTAAACGAATGTCATGGTTCCACTGCAAACAGTTCTCTCGAAGTGAGTGATATGCTGCAGGAGCTAAATGCACAAAATAAAAAAGTGGGCCTGGAATTTAATGCATCGAAAACACAGGTAATGCATATCGTCAGCACACCTGCGGCAAGGCTCCGGATAGACAGTATCAACTCGAAAAGAATCACCAACTACGTTTGTTTTGGAAGTAAATATGCGCAACAATCTTCAGCCGAAGATTACACGTAAATGGGCTGCTACTGTTTGGTGCAAATTTTATAGAGAAATATAAAGCTAAGAAAACCGGGCCCATCTCTATAAAACCAAAGTAACCGTGCTAGCTTTGCTATTCTGTATCCATGAGTAACTTAAAGATTTTAAAGTCAGCCTTGACGCATGCTGAGATTTCGCGTTGAGCACAAATAAAATTCCAATTTTGAACGATTTTCCGCAGCCATACTGAAGTACTAATTTTGCGAGAGTGCCGCACAAGCCTGCAGTTTTAAAACGAGTGAATTCCGATGAATTTGCTTGATTTTGATTTATCATCCTCGGTGATAATAAAATTTTTATAGTTTACTTCGACACTTGACGTATTTTAAACATGTTTGGGTCTGTTTTATCCTAGCGTTCTGGATAAAACGGATTCAGATGGTAGATTCCAAGCAGAATGAAACCAAGCGGATTGCTGGGCTAGTACATATAATGTACCAGTTTTGCAGTGTTCTTGTGCAAGTGATCGCCTAAACCCGTGCAGTATTTCAAATTTCCGGTACTTTTACCTATCCCTTATGGTAATCCAGAGATATTTCGCATGATGTTTCAAAAGTCTCATACAGAATTTAGGATATCCTCTACAGTATTTAATATATGCCGTACGATATTTTAGAAGTACATAACGGATAACTCAAAATAAATGTGATTGCGTTTTCAAGGACATAACTTACGTATATGTATGCTGCAATTTCTAAGAATGTGAAGCATGGCCACTGACGAAAGTTGAAGGGTGAGCGTTAGCTGGTGATAGAGAAAGCAATGTTTCTTGTATCTTTCAGCACTACATAAATAGCCAGACCGTGCAGGATGTAATTTTGATAAGGTATGAGAGTAAAATCTAATAACCAGGGCACGCTGCTCGCTTTATCAACAGTAGGTAAACTTTGCGTATAAGTGAACAGTATCCAAGAGATAATACTCAGATGATTTTCAGAGAGTGCACATATAAATCAAACAAACAGTAGATGTTAACTGGAAGTACGCAGCCCAGTAACGAAAGTCGTGGTGTAGTCGCATCAGGCGTTTGCGAGCATCTCAGAAACACAATTAACATGGAATATTC